ACTAAGTGCCCAACACTGTATCTCCTTATTAATGCATTTGTGAGGAAATCTTACTCCCTAACGCTAATCTTAAAGCCTTATTAATAACATTAATTCTTGAATTAAAAATCAAAGTCCTGACCCAAAACCTGATCTTAAAACGCTTAAAGTAACTCAAAAATGCTAAAATCAAATATAATCATAACGTCAAAACCTTAACTCAAAACTTTAACTATAAGCCTTACTTTAAATCTTAACCCAAACCTTAAAACCCCAAAGCTTCTCTTAAAATCTAACCCAAAAATTCCAACCTTAATCGTAATTTTGAAACCCGATATTTGGAGCTATAAGCTACACATTTATCCCAACCTCAAAACGCCGACACAAACCCTTACCAGAAATTTAACTTTCAACCCCTAACCCTAACTTTGTACACCTAATACCGAAACCCTATCCTAAAACCACCACTTTAGTCGTAAAACCCCAACCCTAAATTTGTGAGTCTAACACTAACTGTAACCCTAAAATCCAAATTAATTATTTCAACCATAAACCCTAAACGCAGTATACCCACCAGTGACTCTGGTAAGAAAATTTAGCATATTTTTGTAGGAATGAACATGCCCTTGAATTCAGAGGGTTTTCCATGTGAAAATTTTCCATAGATCACACCTGCATACGGTCACATGTTTCCCTAGAAGTCAGAACTAATGCAAAAGTAGACGGATTCATCAAAACAAGCGTCCCCATCTTCGTACTTTGGGTTTCGCAAACTGCGTGGAGCAAGACATAAATAAATATACTGTTCTCGAAGAAACAGAAACGCTTTTACCCTTAGTATTTCTTGTTTTAAAGCCTAGGCAATGTCCTGTCCTAAGACACCGTTAAAATTCCAACCAGCAAGATTTTTGTCGTTAGTGCATAATTAAACCATCTCGATTGTGAAAAAATTCCACAGCCTTGTTGGGACTTCAATAAAATTCCTCCGAATTATCTGCTGGACACCGGCTGTCTGTCTTCTGCGCCGTGTGCGAGCTGACTAACAGCAGAATAAGTCTGAAACAGTTCTGTATCAATCTAATCGCATTTCCTGTCATTCCTCCGCTGTGCTATCATAACTTGGCCGACTTCGGCCTGTTCGTGACCTTTCCGGCTATAGGGAATCTGTTTCATTTGGGAAACGAATATACAAAATGTATACATATTTTAAATTATTGTAAAATTGGTGTTTATTATAATTTTATTATTTCAAAAATTTAAAAACCTTAAAAAGTATCACTTTATTGTTTTTTCGCTGCAAGTTCTCAAACTGGCGTTCATTTTGATCCAGACACTGCTGACAACGCAAAGCGACGGGATCGTACACAGCATGAAACAGCTCCCTTGCTATTTGGACGCATTCAGGCTCAATGGCTCCTCTTGATTCAATTATTTAAAATATAGTCAAAATGCAGTGGAAAAACAATAAAATGATACTAGTTAATATTTTAGCCTTTTTGAAAATAATAAAAAAATAATAAACATCAAGTCGACAATTAATTAACATGTGTATGCATTTTTGGGACACCCTGTACATATGAGCGTCTAGTACCGCCTGAACAAATGTATATGCACATGGGTCTACTGTTATTGTTTCAGTTGTAGATATTTTAAATTCATGTGATAGAACGCTGCAGATTAGGTTAGCTGGCGGTTGAGATAATATCACTTAAAAGTCAACCGAGAGGGTAAGTGGAAAGGCAAAAAAGGAAATTCGTTGAAGATTTAGATTATGCCAGCGCTAATTAGTTCCGAAAGGAAAAAAAACTCCGAGTCGGCAAATGAATGCACAATCTCCTTTACACTCACCCACAAGCGCGTTGGGAGAAAGGTGGAGCAATCTTATCGAGCACATCGGCCAACTCG